TCTGGGGAGGTGTCCGCCGAGGGGACTTGCTGCTGGCTTCTTCTTCAGCATGAGAAAGCCCTCAAGGAGCCGAGCCACACAGGGCTGGGTAGGGGCAGCAGGGTAGGGCAGCTGTGAGGGTCATGGGGACAGCAGCGACCTGAGGCCTACACAAAGGCATTTGGTTCAGGCAGAGCCTGGGACTCCAAGACTCCTTGTAGGCCAAACGCAGCTCCAGGAATGCCTGGCCTGAGCGCCCAGTTCGGGCTTCCATGGTGGAGTAGGAGGTGAAGCCCCAGAGGGACACAGAGGTCTTTCAGTCTCAGCCTCTGTTTTGAAAAGAGAAGCCAGACTGAGAGAACACTGCTTTAGAAAGGGCTGGCCAGAGTCTCGGTCCAGACAAGGACTTGCAGGCCTCTGCAGCCCTGGGAGCTGGATTATGTCCCCAGGTAGCATCCTTCCAAGTTTGCATCTGAGTCTCTTTTTGGAGACAGGGTCTCGCTGTGCACTTCAGGGTGTCCTTAACTCACTTTGTTGCCCAGGCTGATCTCAAACTCTGGTGATCCTGCCTCAGCCCACCAAGTGCTGGGATTACAGGTGTGCGTCTGTGGGCCTGGCTAGAACTCAACCCAGCAGCACAGCGTGACTCAGGGTGCTCGAGGACCTCACAGGCACGTGCTGTGTGGTCCCACCATGATGTAAAATGCCTTGTTTTTCTGGGGTGAAAGGCTTTCAGGTGCAGGCACAGCCCCCGGCGAGCGGCCTCTCCTCTGTGTCACACTCCTCATGGGCCAGCGAAGGCACAGTCATGACTGATGTCACCCAAGGGGAAGCACAAGGAGTGAGGGCTTTGGGATGGTGGCTGGGTAGGCAATGAGCCAGGGAACCACATTAACTGGCCTGACAGGGGCAGCCATGTGTCACCAGACAGCGATTGGCCAGTCCAGCTGTTTGGATGCCCCTCGGGTGCCTCCTGGCCCCCTGCAGGAGTGCCATGTGGCCTTCAGCCCAAAGTGATTTTGCTGCTGTTTTTTGGCTTTTTTTTTTCCCCACAAGGTCTATTTATGGTCTTGAATTCACTATGTATCCCAGACTGGCCTAAGACTTACAGCAACCCTCCAGCCTCAGCCTCCCGAGTGCTGGGACTGAAGGTATGTGCCATTACGCCAGGCTTTCTTCCCAGAATGCTGAAGGGTCCCAGCAAGCGGCACAAGAGATCACTACAGGTTGGAAACTACACCTAGCAAGCCTTCCCTGAGCGACAGGCCCTGGGGCTGTCCACACGAGCTGGACAGCACGGCGGTTGCCCACAGTCACTAGTGTATGCCAGGGGCCAGGTACGGGGTCAGATTCTTTTCACTGGGACTGTTGTCTCCTCTGGAGGGCGGTTGGATAAGCTGCTGGTCCAGGGGCCTTGGGGAAGGAGCAGTACGAGGAGGATGCCACCCAAGACCACCAGGCCGGGTGGAGGCAGCATGGTGTGGTGCTCACTGTGCCTGGGCGCAGACGACAGAGGGTGAAAGGCTGTTGGCAGGGAATAAAGTGAAGTGGGCTCTTTATAGGGTTAGAAAGAAGGCAAGGGCACGGGCAGGAAGGAGGGGAGGGACGGGGAGGAAGAGGGGAGGGACGGGGCGGCAGATCTCAGTAAACATCAGTGGGTGAAGTCTCTGGGGGGCGAGTACCCCCGGTGGAGAAGTGTGAGGTGTCCTATGTGAACCTTTGGGTGTCTCCAATGTCAGGAGACCCACAAGGTCCCTCACACTGTGCAGGTCTCTTTGTACTGCCTGGGTTTGCAGAGCGCAGCCTGGGTGCTGAGCTGAGGCCCCGCTGAGGAAGGCGCCTCTCTGTGCAGACAGTGGGGCGCTGGGGGACCCTGTCCCTTATGCTTTTGCTCCCATTTCAGCCCCCAGAACTGCTCCACTTAGGACCCCGATGCCAGGCCCGGCAGGAGCAGTCACTGGCAGTATGTGAGTTCCACCTGAGTGCGGTGGTTTTTGTTCTGCTTTGGATCTAAAGTGGCCCCCCAAAAGCCTGGTGTGTAGGGGAAGGCGACTGGCTCACAGGGAGCTGCTCCCCTCAGAGGACTCCTGCACTGTAATGGAGGCAGCCAGCGGCACTGCAGGAGGGGACTCTGCTTGGCCCTGAGGCCTGACCCAGAGGGCTGTGCCTGTCCCCAGTGCCACCCTTCTCTCTGCTTCTTGATGAAGGGCTGAATCTTCTAGAAGCAGCCCTAGTGACAGGAAAGTGAGCAGGACCGTGTTGTCCCTGGGCAGGGTCTGGAGGTCCCCCACATGAGTGGGGACTCAACTGGTCGCCCCCCAGGGTAGGTTTATTGCCTTTCATCACAGAAAAGCATCTTGGGATGCACAGGGAGAGCCACAGGCAGCTTCGGGGAGCAGAAGCCCTTAGGAGGCCCCCAGGGGTGGCGTAGTGAGCGTCCTGGGCTTGGAGGGCCTGACTCCAGGCAGTGATCGAGGTTTGTCCTTGAGCTGTTATTTACCCAGTTTACTCAGTAGCAGGGCGCAAGCAAAACCTGGCTTTATCACAAGGTTAAACTGCAAACTGTTTGAAGTTTAGCAAGATGGTTCTCGATCAACTATCCTGTTCCCCAGCGGAGTGGTGGAGCGGGCAGGCTTGAGTGATGGGAGAGAAGCACGGTGGAACTCATGGGTTACTGTATCTTTAAGACTCTGGACTTAGCAGGTGGTGTGTGGTGGGGGATGGCTGAGGCTGAGGCAGGAGGATGGGTGCAAATTCAGGACCAGCCTGGGCTACAAAGTGAGCTCAAGGCCAGGCTGAACTGCATAGTGAGACCCTGTCTCAAAAAGACAAGAAAAAAAAAAAAGGAAAAGACTCCGGAATTAAGGAGCCTGGAAGAAGAATGGGCCAGGGGCTAAAAAAGGCACTGCAACCTTAGATAACTTTCTGTCCTGAAGCTGTAGTCTTCTTAAAGTACAATTTTGAATTTGTAATTTTCCTTGTGTCCTTTGTCCCGCTCTTTTTCCTATTTTACTTTAGTACAGCAGTAAAAGAAAAGTGTGGGAGAAAAAGTGGACTAAAAAAATTAGATCATGAGAGTTATCAAAACTGTGAAAACATTTTCTGTCAAAATTCGAAGGCCAAACGGGATAGATTCAGAGCGGGCGGAACCCAGGGTCTCAGAGTTCGTGGCCAGGCAGAGGGGAAGGAGGTTTCTGGCCCGAGCCAGGTGCGAGGCAGGGTGGGCTGAGGCGGGAGCTGGCACCATATCCCCAGGGACAGTGTCCCCATGTCACACAAGTTGGGGGTGGGGACACTCAGGGCCCAGGCAGGGGCTCCAGCCAAGTCAGGCCCTGGGCCCCCCACCCCTGACCCTTGCCGGGCCCCGTGTTGGGTTCCTGCATATGGAGTAGCTTTAGGGTGCCACCCATGCAGCCGCTTCCCTTTAAGATACAAACCCCATGGGGCCCTCTCTAATCTAGAGACCTCAAAGCTCAGTATGGGGACCCCTGTTGGCGGCGGTGATGTGGCCTCAGCACTGCTCCTCCCAGCACCCTCGCGTCTAAAGCAGGTCTCTCCCCTGCCTACTAGACCTTGGTCCTCAGCACGCCATGGGCTTTCGGGTACCCAGACGCTATGCCCAGTTCATGTGCCCAGGGTGTCCCTGTCTCCACCCGCTGCCCGCTGTGAGTCAGAGCCTGACAGAGGGCACTGGCGGTGAGACTTTCCACTGCCCGGGTGTGTTAGGAAGGTGGTTGGGTCCTGGGTGCTCTGCTGACCAGTGGGTCATGCTAAAAGTGCCGTGAGGAGCCAGGGCCTGGTCCTGGGTGGTTCACTGAGGTGTGACCTTTGGTTTTTTGAGACAGGGTCTCACTATGCAGTTCAGCCTGGCCTTGAACTCACTGGGACCCTCCTGCCTCAGCCTCCAAGTGCTGCGATTATAGGTGTGCTCCACCAGGCTTGGACAGTGTATTCTTGTCCCTGGCTCCTCCCCTCTCCCTGCTTCCTGGCTGTCCTGAGTTGAACACCTTCTTTTCTGCTGTTTCTGCTCTAGAGCTGGCTGCCCATGAACTGAGGCTGCGCCAGAATGAGCCTCTCCTTCTCTGAGTTGTGAGTGCCTGGGGTCATGTCCCTGCAGCAGGAAATTCGAGGACAGCCACAGCACCTGAACCCACGCCTCTGAGAAAGCCAGCAGCCAGGGCGCACACTGCAGCACACCCAGAAACTCCCGGAGTGCCCAGCACCAGGTGTCCCTCGAGGGGCCGGGCTGCCTGGGACAGGGAGGAGGAGGACTGTGTCTTCCTGCAGCCTGGCAGATGGTGGGGACATGGAGGTGGCCAATGGAAACAAAGACTGCATCCAGGAAGCCAGGAGTATCCTTGAGGACTTTGGGGAGAAGCAGGGTTTGGACCTGGGGGCTGAAAGGACTTCACACTTGTGACCACCGGCCACCGATATTTGTTAGCTTCTTCCTGTGTGCAGGCTCTGTGCTGGGCACCAGACAGTGGCACTGAGCTACCTGGATCATCCTGGGGGCCTCCAACCACTGTCCCTGCCCTCCAGGACCCTTGGGGCCCCCAAAGTCCCTGGGGAGCCGGACAGGTGGGGGCTGTTTGTGACAGTATCTCTGTGTGTGCACTGCTGAAGGCCCAGGCGCCGGTTGCCTGAGGTTAGCGTGGCTCTGAAAACGAAGGATGCATGCCTGGAACCCAAGGGGACCCGGCACCTTCTCTCTGGGTACAGATGGGGCCTGGGGCCTGGGAAGGCTCCCAGGTAGGAGACCTGGCTGTGGGGCTCTGCCTGGGACTCAGATAGGCAGAGACCAGAGCTGCCTCGAGCTCCTCCCCTGGGCCTGGCCCAGCTAGGAGTGGCTGCGAGCAGGAGGCCAAAGGAGAAGGGTCATCTCTGTCATCAGCACAAAGTGAGTGTGGAGCCAGAGAAGAGGGCAGGAGCTGAAGGTCCGGATCCACGCTCAGTGAGCCGCCCAGCTGGGGCATCATAGTGGGATAAGTGCTTCTCCACAGGACTCTGTGCACGGAGCGCAGCCCTGCAGGGGCTGCCCTGGTCCAGGCAGGGGGTGTCTTAATCAGCACCCCCTGGCGACAGTGCACAGGGTTCCTTCTTGCAGCCCAATGTTTCTTCATCCAACCGCTTGTTTTAGTTGCTCTGGTTGGAAAGACGCTGGGGCCTGGGTGGGGATCTTGTGATGTGCAAGGCTGGCAATTTTGCTGCCGGTTCTGGGCACCATGGCAGTCTGCGCTGGGCCACTTATCTCACAATTGTGCCAGCGACCGGGGAGCCCTCCTATCGGGACTGCACACCTGGGGTTTCCTCGATGTTGGGTGTGGGTGAAGAAACCTCCTACCTGCCTGGCTGCCCAGCCCAGGGCACCCCATCCCCACGCCCTCTGCCAAGGAAGCTGATGGCTGGGCAGGCGCGGTGTCCCCGTTCCCTGGGCAGGCTTGGTGCTGCTGCAGGGAGCCAGACTGGGCTCCGGAGAGAGGGCCGGGCCGCTGTGCCTGGACCGTGGTGCTTTCTTTTCCCAGCTCTGGAGCGTGGAGCCATTTCCACCTTCCTCTCAGAACTCCTGGGAAAAATTCACATTCCATGGGGTTTTTTGTTTCATTTTTGGGTTTTTTTTGATACTGGGGATTGAACTCACGACCTCGCACTTGCCAGGCAGGTGCTTATGCCACTGAGCTAAATCCCTGGCCCCTCCGCTTTCTTTTTTAATCTGGGAATTAGCATTTGTGTGTTTTTAAACTTTCTAGACAAAGATAAAAGGGATCTTACTTTATTTTATTTTTTTGATGGTAAGAAAACAAAATTTCATGAAAATGTTAATATTGACCCAATATGAAACAAAAATAGTCAAAACTATGCACGTGACATATTGCACAATGCTGGAACCCAGCAAGTGTCCTGTCATATGAGAATCATACTGTGCTAATCTACAAACTGTGCAGAAACAAATGGACTTTGTCAAAAAAAAGGGGGGGGGATTTAAACATCTACCTTTTCTTTGGTCTTGTGGATTGAACCTAGGACCTTCACAAGGAATTTTTTTTTTTTTGTACTGGGGATTGAACTCAGGACCTGGCGCTTGCCAAGCAGGTGCTGCATCACTGGACTAAATCCCTAGTCCGTGAACTCTTTCTGTTTGATTTTGAGACAGTCTTGCAAAGTCACTAACTTGTCCAGGCTGGCCTCAGACTTGTGGTCCTCCTGCTTCAGCCTCCTGAGGTGCTGGGATTACAGGCGTGCACCATCACAGCTGCCCGAGTCTTTGTTTTCAGCCCTGGCAGTTGTATCATCACCATTCCTTCACGGCCAGGTAAGCAGTTCCGAACCTGCCCACCATTTCCCTTGGCACTTATTTTTTCCATTTATGTATTTCGTTTTGTTTTGCTTTTTTGAGACAGGGTCTCACGACGTAGCTCAGGCTGGCCTTGAACTCATGGCAATCCTCCTGCCTCAGCCCCCCAAATGCTGGGGGTTGCAGGTATGCACCACCACAGCTGGCTTCTGTATCCTATTCTCCTTCTGGGACATTTCCTCCCTGAATTTCCTGTCCTGATGATCTGTCCTTGGCTGTGTGTGATCTGCTCTGCATTCTGTTCATCCTGTTCTTAGAGCAACCGTGCATGTTGTGAGTTAACTTTCTGCTTGGCTATTTTTTTTTTTATTTTAATGCTTTCCTATTATCATCATCATCACTGTTATTCTTTTTTTTTTGTCATTTTGAGGCAGGGTCTCGCTATTTAGTTCAGGCTGGCCTTGAGCTCACTTTATAGCCCAGGCTGGTCTCGAACTTGCAACGGCCTCCCGAATGCTGAGATTACAGGCATGAGCCACCATGCCTGGCATCACTGTTATTCTTTTGAGGCAGTTTCCCTATGCAGCCTAGGCTGGCCTGAAATCATGGTGACCCTCCTGCCTCAGCCTCCCAAGAGTGGGGATCACAGGCCTGTGCATCACATCTGGCTGTTTTCCTGCTGCTGAGTTGTTTGTATTCAGAATGCCTCCCCGACTCTCATGCTGTATTTAGTAAGCTGATTTCAAGCTGCTGGCCGCCTACAGCACTGCTCCTGTCTCAGGTACAATCAGAGACACGACCCTTCCCATGGTGCTCCTTCTCTGGGGTGCCGGCTGAACAAATGGGGGCCTGGATAGAAAGTCCTGCGCATGGTAAACCAGACCCCAGGGACTGGGGGGGGGGGGCAGGTGTGTCCTCAGGAGTGTGGCAAGGCCATCAATGCGTCCTCAAATTATAGCTGGCCACCAGGGAGTCCCCTGTGTCTCCCAGTGTGTCTGCCCTGTCTCCCAGCTACACGAGGTGGGGAGGGGGGTTGCGCAGCTTGGGAAGGGCGGATTTCAGAGCTCAGCAGATGGGACTGCGGCCAGTTCTGACCCCTGCAGCTGGGGGTAGGGAGGACATTCTGGTGACACTGTCCTGAGCTGTCCCCACCCTCGTCTCCATGGTGATAGGCAGAGAGGAAGCAGGGCCCTGACCAACATGTGGCCGCTACTTCCTCCCTGCCCCAGCGCTCTGGGCGCTGTGCGGAGGGTCAAGTGGCCCGTTTATCACAGTGGAAGCGACTCCAAGGAGACAGGATAGAAAACCAGGCCACAAGGTCGGCAAAGAACGCAGGGTTAATTAAAATGCAGAATGCATCGCTTCTCCCTGCAGCGGCCAGCAGGGCCCAGGAGACGCCACCCCTGCGGCCCACCTGCCTGACTGCAGCCTTGGATGCCAGCGCCCATCCCCACGGAAGAGTGGCTGTGCAGGGCTGTGCAGGGCGGCGGCGCTGAAATTCATCCCGGTGCTTCCTCCACGCGGCTGGAATCCTGGTCGGCTGTTTAAGAGCCCAATGTTTACTGGAGGGGAGACCTGCAGAGGTGCCTGGTGTGGGGAGGCTGCTGAGTGCCTGTGTTTGAATCTGTGGATAGCTGAGCCCCACCACCTCTGGGGTACACAGGAAAAGGCCTGGCCCAGGAGAAACAGCTTGTGGGGCAGATGAGCTGGCCACGCCCCACCAAACTCACTCCAGACTTTGGTTCTGTGACTTTCCCCTTTTCCTGAAATCTTTTTTTCTTTCCTTTTCTTTTTTTCTTCTTTTTTGAGACAGGGTCTTGCTATGCAGTTCAGCCTGGCCTTGAACTCACTGTAACCCAGGCTGGCCTCAAACTCACTGGGATCCTCCTGCCTCAGCCTGCTGAGATTACAGGCATGTGCCACCATGCCTGGCCCCTCAGTCCTTATAGACTGTTAGAAGAGCACAACAAAACCTGAAAACATGAGATCAGTCCTGAAGGAAAACTGAATGTCAGACCTACCTGGCACCACGTTTAAACAGCTCTGCCCAATAAATGTCCCTTTCCAGGTGACTGGCTTACACCGATGTAAACAAGCACTCCACCCCACCGTACCCCGCGCCCAGGCTCTGCTTCTGGGTGCAGCTTCTGGAGACCATGCATCCTGGGGTCCATCTGCCCATGGGGGCTCCTTTGATGACCCTTGGGAGTCCCCGCCACACACTGCCCTCTCCAGCCACATGTCCACCCACCACCTCTTCCCTGTCCCAGAGACTCTCCCTTCTGGTGCCCAGGACCGGGCCCACGGGCTGGGGGTGCAGCTGACTCTGGCACTGCTCCCGAGAGCGCTGGGTCTGGGAGGGTGACTGCCCTCCCCCTGCACCGCTCTGCCGAGGACCATAGTGGCTCTGGATGGTGACTACCAGCAGCTCTGCGGCCAGCGTCGTCCCTGCGAGGGTGCACAGAGCCAGCATGGGGGGCCAGATGCTCGAGGGAGCTGGGGTGCCAGGCAAGACACTGGAGCAAAGCTCCCTCGGATGGCAACAGGATGGTGCCCTAGTGCCAGGCTCAGGTGACCCCTGTGCTGCTCCCTGGGCTTCGGCAGTGTGATTTTCTCCTTGGGTCTTTGTGAGGGCCCTGAGGGGCAGACAGGGCAGGAAACATTGCCCCAGACTGCAGGGAGGACGCTGAGGCCCCCGCACAACTCAGGGAACAGTGACACAAGGCTGGAGCCTGGGCTTCTGACAGTAGCCATGGAGAAGTTAGCAGTTGAGCCCTGGCAACCCCTGTACCCCCGTTCTTTTTTTTTTTTCTCTTTTTCCTTTTTATCAGTACTAGGGATCGAACTCACAACTGCCTGTTTGCAAGGCAGGCGCTTATACTGCTGAGCTAAATCCCCAGCCCCTTCTTTTGTTTTTTTGAGACAGGGTCTCACTATATAGCTCAGCTGGTCTTCTACTCATGGGGGAGCCTCCTGCCTCAGCCTCCTAAGTGCTGGGATTACAGGCGTATGTGTGCATGTACATCTCTTCCTCCTACTGTTTGTATCTTCTGCTTGACCAGTGAGGGTGCTCAGGGTAGCTGCACGGTAAGCACTCTGCAAATACCAGCTGTTGTTGCTCCTGCAATCATAGCCACCCTTCCAAGCAGAAGAAAATGGGGTTCTGCTGCTGACTGAAGGCTTTTTGATAATATTTTTGCCATTACTAGTTTCATTCATAACCCCATGCAGGTTTGCTGTGTATTTGCAAACATTATCTGGAAAAGCTTTCCCTGGCCTTTGATGTTATCAAAGGAGCCCAGGGGACAGGAGGCCCAGTGCCCCACGGGGGAGAAGGGCTGCATCAGGGGGCCATGGGCTTGGCGTCAGAGAAGGCTGCCCTTGGAGTCAAGGCTCCAGCAGGGTTTTGAAGCCTTGGGGCTTCAGGGGCGATCCCAGGTTATCTAAAGGCTGGGAGTGAGAGAGGAAGTGAGCCCACGAGCACTGTTTCCTGCCTCAAAGGGGTGCAGTCCCACGGGACCCCGGTGACTGGCCTTGGAGCCAGAGCCTGGCAGGGGCAGAAAGCATTTGAGGTGCTGAGTGCCAGCTGCTCACGGCCAGGATGGGTCCCCTTGACCTTGGGGCAGCTGGAGGAGACTCAGGGAACAGGGAGGGCACTGAGGGACCTGAGATGGGGAGCCTGCCTCCTTCCCCACCAGGCTTTGGGGCGTAAAGCTCACCCATGAGGTCACGGGAAACTGGTTCGGATGCCTTTGACTCCAGGTCTGAGTCCCAGGTCCCAGGCAGGGACCTTGGCCCAGGCAACCTCATCCCCCTGGGAGCAGTCTGACTTAGCCCAGTGGTGTTTTAGTTTGAAAGGTATAAGGACAGGCTGGGCTTGATGGCACACATATGTCATCCCAGCACTCGGGAGGCCGAGGCAGGAGAATTGCTATGAGTCCAAGGCCAGCCTGCACTACATAGCAAGACGCTGTCTCAAACATCCCCCCCCACTCAAAAAGATGTAAAGACATTTGGCTAATGTTTAAAACCCAGGCTGGGCATGGTGGCATATACCTGTAATCCCAGCACTTGGGAGGAAGCTGAGGCAGGAGGATCTCAGTGCATTTGAGGCCAGCGTGAACTGCATAGTGACGCCCTGTCTCAAGCAAGCAAACAAACAAAAGACCAAAGACCCATTGTATATCTAGGAAAGGTTTGTATGTGTGTCAGTTACTCAGCTGAAGTCTTTAAAGCAATTGCATATATGATCAAAAAAGTTTAATAAACGTTTTCATTTAAATGAGCATGTAAATGAGACCGAACACCATCAGAGACCCCTTGTAAACTATTTGTAAAATTAACTGTGTTTATAAACAACATGATGAGATCCTAAAAGTGGAGCTTCCAATGCTTAAGAAAACTGTGTTTAAAAGTAGAACACATGGGGCTGGGGATTTAACTCAGCGGCATAAGCACCTGCCTTGCAAGCGCACCTTTGTGAGTTCGATCCCTGGTACCAATTAAAAAAAATTAAAATTAAAAATTAAAATAAAAGTAGAACACGTGTTCATACTATGTATCTGTGCTATCTGTCTGTCTGTCTATAGTGTGGCAGCGCAGGGGGTGGAATCCAGGGTCTCAGGTGTGCAAGGACGCCTGAGCTTCATCCCACCCCTGAATATTTTTTAAAAACCAGTGTGGCCAAAGGGGCTGCCGTCTTTTGTGTGGACCAAAGCCTCTCCCCACAGCCCGAGTAGGAACCTGATGTGGGGAGCAGTGGAGGAAGGGGCTCCTGGCTCTTCAAAGCTTTGAAGTCTGACCAGCAGTTTCTTATTTTTTAAATTTATTATTATTATTTTTGGTAGTACCAGGGGATTAAACTCTCAACCTCACACTTGCCAGGCAGGTGTTTACACCACTGAGCCAAATCCCTGGCCTGACCAGCAGATTTTCAAAATATGCAGTAGAGTGAGAGTTGCCAGGTGAAATATAGGATATCCAGCTAAATTTGAATTTCAGATAAATAATTTTGTATAAAAGCATATCCCGCATATCATGGTAGAATTTTCAATTGTTTGTTTTGCTTTCTTTTGTTTAAAGACAGGTTTCACTGTGCAGTTCAGGCTGAGTTTGAGTTCACTTTGTAGCCCCCAACTGGCCTTGAATTTACAGAGGGATCCTCTTGCTTCAGCCTCCAAGTGCTGAGATTACAAGTGTGCAATCCCACCATGCACAGGGTGGTTTGTTTGTTTGGAGACAGGGTCTCACTACCCCAGGCTGACCTCGAACTCCAAAGGCCCACTGACTTTTGGTCCTTGCCTCAGCCTCTGGGGTGCTGAGATTACAGGCACTGCCATGCTCATCTAGCCTGAAAATTGTATGTAATGTACACATACAAAAAAAAAAAGCGTACGCTTTTTCCTGAAACTGGAATTCAGCATGGTGACCGGGTTTTTGTCATTTAGCCTGGGAAGGAAAGAGAAGCCACGGCGGTTGTCTTATCTCTGTGTGTGTGGGTATGGAGCAGGTCACAGGGAGAATCCATTTCTTCCTGTGGGTCGGAGAGAGCATAGAGAAAGCTACCATCCTAGGTGGCTGTGGTGGAAGGACAGAGAGTGGCTGGCGTGGTGCTGGGCATGGGTGGTCCACCTGAGGATCACAGCCAGCATGAAAAGGAGACCTGGACAGGAAGTAGTTAGTTCTCCGTGGTGCTGTGGGTTCTCCTGGAGGATCTGTCGAGCTTCTTTCCTGACATGAACTCGGTTGTTCTCATCCTCAGAAGAGCTCAGGACCTTTGTTGTCGCTGAGAATGGCTGCAATTCACTTTGGGGAGCTCTGGTCCTTACATTGAGTGTCACTTCCTGGCTCTGGAGGGGGAGATGTGTGCTGTTCAGTCTCTAGGAGAAGCTCGTCACACTTGCTTCCTGATATCAACTCGGCTGTTCTCATCTTCGGAGGAGCTCGGGACGTGTCGCTGAGGATGGCCATAGTACTTTTCAGGGGAGCTCTGGTTCTCACTTTAAATGTCGCTTCCTGGCTCCAGGGCAGAAACCTCAGCCTGCTGGCACAGATCCATCGCCCAATGGCACAGACTTTCTAGATTCCACCATTAATTCTGAGGTCTTCCCAGCACAGATCCATTAAGCAGACTTGCACGAGTCATCGTCATGGGCTCTAGGTCTCCAGCTGGACTCATGTAGGACATTGCTGTGGGACCAACGCTCTCAACTGGATTCCTTGACTCTTAGCATGTGGACAGATTTCCTGCACTTTTTTTTGTATTTAATTCTTGGGTGATTATTCTCCTTGTAACCCCTGACTACAACAGTGGCTATGGGTTAAATTAGATAAAATACTGTAGGCAGCTAGACAGGGCTGGGCCCTTGGAGGAGCCAGTGCAGAAGATGGGATCCACTGCACCTGTGGGGGTGACAGACACATCTGCTGAAGGTCAGACCTCAGGACAGAAGGTGAAATGAACACACCCACATACTTCCCCTGAAGATAAACAACAGGGACTGATGTTCTAACTAGGTATCCATCATCTTGAAAACGCCAGGAAGAGCCATGGATCCACTCCCTCCAGGAAAAGCCTGTTCTGGTTCATGCCCGCTTGCTTCCTTTCCCATTCTGTAACAGAAAATGCATCCTGCCCCTGCCGGGATACTTGTCTCTTAGTTGCCCAGGTCACAGTTCCTGTTGCAGTTCCCGTTGCTTTGTCTCCTAGAAACGGCCGGCACCGTGATGCATACTGTAAGAACCAATCCCAACTGACAAGCCACTCTGCTTCTGTACTTCCTGCTTGCTTATCCTATGAAAGCCCTAGACCACCAGACGTATTTTGAGAACGATGCCTGATCAGTGCCCTCAGTGTGAATAAATCTGCCTCCAGATTCTGGGTGTCATTGCAATTTGATCCCCATTTAATCGGTATTACCTGGGCAATTATGCTCATAATCTTATTGGTTGACCACAGTTTAGTCCCACCCTGTGATTTCCCATGTTTCCCCACCTTGGACCCCCTCACCTTGTGGTTCTGCACATAAAAATCCCTAGAAAAGACAGCGTTCTCAGCAACCTGCGCACAGACTGAAGCTT